CATGTACCTGAGATTCTACAAGCACCCGAATTTATTTCGTTTACATCTCTTTTTCTATCATCATATTTAATCATTCTGTTTGTAAATGTACATTGTTCAGGATTTGGCGGTGGCTCTTGGCCTAATCATTATGGTGCTGCAGCCGAGTTTGTTTGTCTACTAAGTGATCCTAACTTAACCACAAAATTCACATCATCCCATGCTTATATGTATGGCGCAGAATATGATACCACTGACTTTGGTCATCAGAATGGGGATGACTTGCCTTGTGTGGTTTGTAGAAGGAAGACGTAATCCAGCGTGTTGATGATTCCAGGAAAGAATAGCTGCTACTCTGGATGGACTAAGCAGTATCGTGGATACCTGGCAGCGGGACATTATAATTCTCCAGCTGCTACACAGTACATCTGTTTAGATGAACACCCGGATGTTCTTACAGCAGGAGAAAGGAACGACAATGGCAAATGGTTCTACCCTGTCAAAACTGCGTGTGGTGCACTGGCATGTCCCCCATACCACAATAATATGTATCTAACATGCGTTGTGTGTACAAAATAAGCACATGTAACAGAGTATGCATAATTAAATTTAAATTTCAATGAAATACTCATTAGTCTTGGATTTTGACGCTTTTCTTTTTATAGTTTGCCTATTCAACAGTGTCTGTATTATGGATATTTGATATTTCTCTCAAGACAAAAAATAAATACTCAATACTATTAAAGTTAGCTTTGAAATGGGCCTGAACAAATTGATATGCAATATGTATAGTACGTAAATACATGTATATGTATCAAAAGACATAGAAAGACAAAGGATCATTGCCCTTTGCATTTTTAATAACATGATGCTTATATTCTATAAATGTATATTCAATGGCGAGGTAAGGAAAACCGCATTATTACCAAACAATTATCGAAATGCAGGAAGAGGGGATCATTCGTAATAAAATTAAGAATAAAAAATAACTCTTGGTAGAACATATCAGACCAAACGATTGCTTGTACTTTTATTGTAACAAATGACATGCATTTTGCATGTAATTTGCTTGATTTACATGTAGGAAATTGAGTCTATCCAGGATATGTTTAGGCTAATAAATACATAAACAACTAGATGCAGGCGTTTTTTTTCAAAAACAAAAGTAATTGGTTACGTTAGTTATTGTATGGATGATGTCTTCGAGTTCGCCATGTGGTTTGGTGACTTCTTTTCAATCCAAATATTCAATCAATGTAACAAGTTCTATGATATCGATTTTGACGAATAAAGGCGTATAAAAATCAGTAGGCTTTGAATGGAAACTAGTGCAAATTCAAAAACGTCTTTCATTTCACATGATGTTCAATTGAAGATTAAACCAGGATTTTTTTTAATGAGTTCTGCTTTTGTACAATAAAATTGATCGACTATAATTAATTCTCGAGTGCAACCCCTTTACATGTAGTACGACTGAAAACAATTCTGACAAATAAATCTCATTATACTTTAAATTGTTTAACAAGACTTTTGCAGTTATATCAGTACTAATAGAAAAGTCGGAATTTGATATGTTTTGTCCACAAATTACAATTTACTTATATACCGATATTACTGCGGAGCCCTCGTGTCAAGGCAAAAAAAATCTTGATCAGTCCCTAAGAGGAGTAAACAATCCCAGGCACGCCCGCCATAAGCCCTGCGGAATGATCAGCTGGACAAAATAACAGTATTATTTAGTCAACGTTAGTACTAAAAAGTAGGGATGCTAATGATTGGGATGAAAACGTCAGAAAATCAATGTTGCAAATCAGTAGGGTTATATTTGCTACGAAGGTTAATACGCCATAGAATGAACGATATTCCGACATTAAACGAGTCTGTTGAAACCTCGTAACACGATTTATTTTTCATTACAAATCCATATAATTAGAGGACAACCTGTCATAATCTGCCATAGACTCCGCATCAATTTTACGTTTAATTTATACAATACTGATTTCTGATCAATATTTTTTAATCATGTTTTGACGGATGTTTTGAAAATAGCCTAAATATCATATTTTATTTGCGTGAAAACTTCAAATAAAATAATTGTTTTGCATTCCATGGCAATTCAAGCTTTGTAAAAGGAATGCAATTTATGGTCATTCCTCCATGACAACTCCTCTGTTAAGAGGTCTGTGTTTGCCCTGCTCCCGATTGGTATTATTTATATGAACTTTGAGCTTAGATACCGTTCGCTATAGTCATCTCCTTGTTTCTTTCAAATTTAAAGAATCTAATTTTACTTATACTCATTAATCCTTTTCTACGGAAGAAATTCTTCAAAATCACATATCAGTTTTGGATATCTTTAATATCCCGAAGAACCCAAATGATTATGAACTACCATACATGTATATATATTGGATTTCAAATTTCCCTACGAATCCATACAAACGAAGATATATTGCGGGTTGCAGTAAATGTTCAACCAAGCCTTTTTCCTTTGACCTCACTAAGATATTGACAGAAGTGAAGGAAAAACTTCAAGAGTACTGTACAACAAAAAAGAAAGAAGTTTTGTGAATTAGATGTGGACTCAAAAATTCCAAAGAACTTTTGGACAATTTGAAATCGCAAGATTATCAACAGCTTTAAAACTTACGACTTTTCAACCTTATACACCCATTCTCCACGATAAATCAAAGTCCAGGCTTTTTGATTTCAATAACACCTGCTTTTTCAATAAAAATGGAACTCGTAAATTTACTGACTTGGTCATTTGCAAAATTATTTTGTTAAAACGTATACTGATTGCACTCACAAGTACTCTGAAGTTGACATCAAAAAGATCCTTGAGTGTCTGATTGACAATATCTATGCTGTTTTTGGAGACCAGGTCTTCCAACAATCTGTTTGAATTTCTATGGGTACCAAATGCGCTCCATTATTAGCAGACCTTTTTTTTATTCATATGAAGTAGAATTTCTGCAAAGTCTTATGACTGAAAAGGAAACACTTGCTGTGGCCTTCAACTCAGCATTTAGAAATATCGTCGACGAAGCATTGTCAATTAACAATGGTTATTTCCATTCCTATGTCGATACGATATATCCTGGTGAGCTTCAATTAAAAGATATCAAATAGTCTGACACACCTGTTTCATATTTCGATATTTTACTAGAAAAAGGCGATAATGGTAATCTAACAACCAAGCTCTTAGACTATGATAAAGGTGATGACTTTAATTTTTCTCTCGTCAACTTCTCTTACTCATATATATAGCATTATACCTTCATTACCTGCATTCGGCGTTTCTAATATCTCAGTTGATTCGATATGCAAAAGCATGCTCTACGTATTAACAATTTCTAAAACGAGGTAAATTATTGACAAACAAATTGATGAAACAAGATTATCAGCAGTCTCGTTTAAGGATCCTCTCTACACCATGGCAAAATATTTTTTGGACATTGAAAAAAATTTATTGCACAAAGGAGCTAATATTGTGCTTATATATCTAATTTTCAATGTATGGAGCGTGGCATTTACCCCCGGGAAAAATGTTCAAAGACAACACAGTATTAGTGAATAGATATCGCTGTTAATTACTTCAGTAGAGAAAATACATGTAAATAACATGTTCAGTTTATTTATTCTGGCCTTTTAAAATGTTAAGAATATTTGAATTGATTACAAATTGGGTAAATTTCTATTTCTTAGAATTTAGTTCTAAGGGCAGATCACTCTAACTGCAGAAAAATACCTTAGAATCAGAACTCTTCAGTGTGCAGAGTAGAGAGGTTTCTTAAAGTCATCTTTTCAGAAGTTGTTTGGTCGATACAATGACCTTGTCAGCAAATACACATTATCATTGAGTCAAATGCTGCATGACTGACGTTTTTCATTCTTATTGTTAGTCCATTATTTATACACTGAATTGACAACGGATTTTTCAGTTATTTTCCGATCACGACAAGAAGCACGCGGCGAATGTGACCGGTCAGTTGAAGATGCTCACTCCTCCGTGGCACCTGATCCCACTTCTGATGTTAAGAGGTCCGTGTTTGCTCTGCTCCTATTTTGTATTGTTTTATGAACTTTGATATGGTCTTTATCTTCATATCCTTCATTGAATACATTAACATGTATATCAAAGACTAAATTAATTTCTAGCAATATCTTTTAATATTTCATAATTTTCGTGGTATGAAATAAGAGATCTAAGCGTTGATGTTTTCATGCAAGCTAAACATCCTATGAGGCCATTAACTATGTAAAAGAATGCTTCATGAATATTAATTAGTAGATTATGCTGGGAATTTATCTTATATTTCTGATTTCCAGCAATGCCTTCAGAAAATAATATAATAATTTACCAAAGGGTTCAAGTTTTTACTTTAATAAGTCAAAGGTTATGCTTTATTATTCATATTCAAATATTTAAAATTGAAATTGATTTATTTCATTTTGCCCTAGACTTAAGTTGCTTATTTTTGATATTATTATTATTATTTTGATATTATCATTTTAGTTTTCAAATTATTTTTTTTTAATTTACATCACGGCGGGAAATTATGAAACTTTATCTTAAAATAGCTCAAGCATAATGAAAAAAAGTACATTCAAGTAATATTTACACCGCAAAATGTGCCACGTACAACGTACGTGTGCGTTAAATATACAAATTAACTACCACATTTACACATACATGGCACAATTAGCTTGTATAAATTTCGCTATACATAACGTATTAACTAAGTTAAATATTGCATATTTTTGCTAAGGTAAATAATATTACAGCAGAAAATGTATACAATGTAATTTTCTCTTGAAAGCCTTGTAAATATATATTCAACAATTTATATCTACCAAATGTTTAATAGTGGGTAAATATTCGTACTTAGACCTGATCACATATTTTATCTATCCGAATTAGACACAACGTCGCACATAGATGAACTTTAGTTACAAGTTCACAATTTTTCTTATCTATCGTTTGTGCATATTTATTTCGTTTCAACAGATTATGAGTTTGTCATGACTACAACGATGGTAGTGCTTTGCATTTCGTTCATCTTTATACAAGTTCTAATCGGACACGCTGAGAAGAGGATTTTGTTGAATGACCCGGACGTCATCCTGTCTCAGATGCATGACCTGGAGAGAAAGTATCAGGACATATTAGTAAAGTACTCTGATTTATCTATTAAGTATTCTGATGTATCGACGAAGTATTCAGATCTTGCAACCAAAACAGCTGATTTAACAACAAAATATAATTCCATACCATTAAAAACTTCCGGTAATTCTTTTTTTTTCAGAAACGTCTACCAATAACTGTCTATTTGCATTTATCAAATTATAAAGAATGAGTTCAATAAAAAAAATTTACGAACCTTATCCCCTTCACAAAAGTCCTTCGGGGTATGACAAGGAAGGTATAATCAAACCTTAGACAATTCTCTGAAATAAACAGCTGGTGCTAGGTTATGGCAACAAAATTCAAACGACTTATTTTAGCATACAGGTAACGGTCAAGGTCACAAGGTAATTGGTGTCATTTGAAAGAACATAATTAGTAGAGTATGCATACCAAATATAGAATCTATACCTCTCATGGTTCAAAAGTTGTGGTAAAAAATCGAAAAAAGTATTTGTAGCATATAGGTCAAAGTCAAGGTTACAAGGTTATTGACCCTCATATCATTTGAAAGTTTATCAGTGGAGTATATGTATACCAAATATGAAGTATCTATCTCTCATGGTTCAAAAGTAATGGCGAAGGTTAAAGTTGATAACAGACAGACAGACAAGCAAAGAAACAGACAATCAGATAATCAAATAAACAAACAAACAGACAAACAGACAGGACAAAAACAATATACGCATCGGATCTATCGATCCGGGCGCATAAAAATACCCACCTTTTAAGCATTTCTGGTGTAGATTTTGACAATGCTTGCTTTAATATCCCCATGCCATGACAAGAGCACAAACAACATGCAATTCTGTACATTTTTTAAAGGGATTTTCATCCTAGAGATGAGATTGAAAACCGCAGGTTCCAAGAAAGAATTTAATTTCAGAAAATCGTCATATATCTACAACTCCAGCAAGAAACCATCTTAGAAGTAAAATACTTTATTAATTTGATCGATTATATCATGTTTAACCAATCTTTTGAGAATTTGTCTCACATATAAAAACGTCTAATGCCCTGAAAGACTTTTAACTTCATCGAGAATTGAGGGTTCATCGTGTAAAGCCACTTGTGAAAGGGTATTTTTTCTAAGGTCTTATACCAAAGACCTGTGCCTTTCAGCGCTCATATCGAGCACTTGGTAAAGGAGCAGTCATAACATTCATTTTTGTTAAAGTATTTGTTTGACTCGGCAAGTCCAACAAGAATAGAACAGGGGTATCCGGATACAAATTAAAGCAGACGCACTATCAATAAGCTACCCTTCCCAGGTAGAAAAGAATACCATGTAGAGGAAGCTGAGAATTAGAATAGTTACAAGCGCCAAAACATGAAACTCTGAAAACACCGCAGATGGAAGCAGGTATGCTTTAAAGGAAAAAAAAAAGCATCCCCTGTTCAATCGTACATAAAGTGTGTTTATGTAACCCGTGCAGCGTTTTAAGTAATGGATTTATGCCGAATATTGTTCTATATGTAAAATCATCAGACTGTTTGAAGCCGTCTAATAATTTAACATAAAGAATTTTGTGAGACATATATCATACATAGGTATTCAAATTACCTGGAGGAGTTCGAAAATATCACAGCAGGAGTTTGGGCTTCAATAGTTTCTACCTAATAAATAGACTTAATAGAAGTTTTTTCCTTCAGATAGTAAAACTAGTGATAATCTAAACACTGCTCAAGAATGAACATCGTCAAGGTTGTCAGATGATTCTTTCTCCTATTACATGTAAATCATATACAATTGTACCTGATTTCGTCTCTGTGAAGACTTTATGTTTTATAATCTATCAAATAATATTTAAAGGGTACAAGGATTTCCTTTAATTCAATACAAACTTTTTTTTTCATTTAATGAAAAGTCTTCAAAATCTATGAAAATAAAGTTCTTCCAACATGTACAGTAGAATCCTGTCAAGATTGTATATAAATCCATCGCATTTAAATTAAACAAGAAAAGATATCAAATATTTTAAATTTTATCCAAGTAAATAAACTTATAAGGACAATTGAACGAGGTATTTGAAACAAATGGAAAATTGGAAAATTGTTTGTAATATGGTTACTTTCTTGAATGATTTTGATCTTCTTCCCAATCTATATATAACGCAAAATTTGACGTATAATTGTACATTTCAGCTAGTGGAGTGTTTGTACGATGGGGGCGAAAGGATTGTCCTTCTGATAACAACACTGAACTTGTTTACTCAGGTAATTTTGAAAGTGCTACGATTGATTGATTGTATGTTACTAAACGTTCTTAGTTTGAACATTTCACGCATAAATAAACCTTACCTGAACCGGTAAATGAGCTACTTTTACACGGAACCTACAACCACTGAGCAGTGAATGAACTTATTACATGTACTGAGATAAGTGGGCATCGGTTTTCAAGACTCATCACGAAATACCCATAAATTTCAGTTTGAAATACCCAGTGCTTGAAAAAGGAACGGTTACTACCTTTTATAAGACTTAGCAGGTGCCTAGAAAAAGGATGTGAAGAGGTTCTTTATGGTGAAACATAATGATAATTAAGGAATGTAATCAAGCTCGAAAGTCAAATAAAACAATTCAAATCGAGGGCAGAGGAAACACAGATTTTTAAATTATTTAAAAGTTATCATCACTTTTATCAAAAAACGATTCAATTCGATGATAGACATCAAAATTCGAATATTGTCATAATTATTTTTAGATAACTTGGTTTTTGGCCTTTGTAGGATTTGGTGGAGGATCTCATCAAAGCCACACTGGTGCTGCAGCTGAGTTTGTTTGTTTACCACCCGACCCAAACCTGACCACAAAATTCACCTCCTCTTTTTCTTATATGTATGGAGCAGAATACGACTCCACTGACTTTGGTCTGCATGATGGAGATGACTTGCCTTGTGTAGTTTGCAGAAGGAAGACGCAATCCAGCGTCTTGATGATTCCAGGAAAAAATAGCTGCTACTCGGGATGGACGGAGCAGTATCATGGATACTTAGCAACCGGATACTATGCAAGCAAAGCAGCTTCGCAGTACATCTGTGTTGATGAACATCCCGAGGCCCTAAGAGCAGGAGAACGTAACGATGACGGAAAATGGGTCCACTCCGTCAAAGCGGTGTGTGGCTCGCTGCCATGTCCTCCTTATCATAATAATATGTATCTAACGTGTGTTGTGTGCACAAAATGAACATCTTTAGCAGAGCATCTTTAAAATTAATCTTCATTTGAATTTCATTAAAATGATGAATCTGTTGCCTTTCTTTTTACATTTTCAATCTTCTCGTATTGCGTTGGAGAGTAAAATAATACTTTTAAATACAGGCAATTTCATCTTTGAAAAGGATTTTGGCATGATCAGATCCTAGAATATGCAATATATAGTACATAGGTATATCTATTATATAAAGAGTTCATTAACTTTATCATTTTTGAAAAGAAATTGTTTATCAAGAGAAATGAGGCTGATATCATATATATGCATTTGCAAAATTAGGAAAATTGCAATAAACTTTTTTGTGAATATAGAATTTATAATATATTAAATATAATATATATTATATAATATATAAAAATAATATATTAAATAAAAATTATCTTAAGATGAAAAAAAACGAAAACCTAGTCTAAGAGAACGTAATCATATTGCATTATAATATTGTATGAAAAGGCAGAATCGACCTTGACGAATGACGACACTCTGCATCTCATGTATAAATTCAACACTGAACTGTTGAGGTTTAAAGGTCGTTCATAATGAAGCTTAATGAGAAAACGGATAAGATATCTAACTTTTCAACTTATAATTCTAGTAAAGAATATATATTGTGAAGAGAGAAAAAAACTGAACCCTAAAAATACTAAAGGTGGGATCAGATGTCAAAGACAAATAGGACTTCTATGTTAACTTTTTGATCTGACACTAATTTCTGGTCTCCCAGTTCAAAACATAAACTTCGTCATCATAATCATATAGGAGGCAGTGGTATCATTTTGCGAGCTCAGTGTTCTCAGCACCTTTATTTTATTTTTATATCATTTTACGATAAGTTATTGTTCAAATTGTTTATTACGGTAAGGGCAAATTAAATGACAGGAAAGATTTGTAGACCAATGAAAATAATGAGGACACACTTAAATAAGAAGGCGAAAATAACGACCAGTGATCCAACTAAAATAATCTGCTAACAAAACAAATCTGTGAACACTGGGCATTAAAAATGGGCTAAGGAAATTTCAGAGGTGGGATCAATCCCTAAAAGGAGTAAGCACCCCCTATTGACTGGTCATGCTCCCAGTGCGATTAGGTAGACAAAACATTCCAGTGTCAAATTTAGCAAAAGGAGATAACGAACACTATTCGAGCTCAATAGTCCATTAAACAATACAAAATTGGAGCAAAACAAACATGGACCTCCAAAACATCAGTGGTTGTATCAGGTGCCATGGAGAAGTGAGCATCCTATGCCGACCGGTCGCTTTCGCCGTGTTCTCCTCGACATGATCGGGAAATAACGAGAAAATCCGCTAGAATAGTTACTTAAGTAAAGAATCGGAATATATTCAACAAAATATATTGATGGATGATTTATCAAAACATGTACATATTTAGTGTTGTTTAGTGATATAGTAGCCAAAATTGTCATATGAATAAATAAATGAACATCAATAAAAAACTGGGGAAAATCGGTTCTTTTAATTTTGAAAAAAAACTCTATGGCGTCACGATTGCTTACTGTTCCTTTAGTATAGGATTTTTTATCATCAAAATTTTGTAAATACCTCCATCGAAAAATGTTGGGGCGTAGTTTCGTTAAAGCTTCCATTTTTTGTGTTACTGTTTAAAATAAATGTTTGATAAAAGTTTTCTGGAACAAATATTATATCTGATCTTTATTATTAAATATTTTCATAAATCATAGGAATTCCTCTTTTAATATCAAACCTTCAAGTTATTTAAGCGCAAATACATCAATGTGTTCAGTATACTAATGATGCTTTCCAATTCTGCGCCGTATAACTTAATATGTTCCCACATGAATATACTGCTGTTAGAATATCAGACTGCCAGGTGACAATACCATTATCAGTTATACGTTTTTTTTTTTTTTTTTTGTTTTTTTTTTTTTTTTTTTTTTTTTTTTTTTTTTTAAATTTCTTCTCCCCAGACTCAGAAAATATTTGGTACATGTAGGCTTCTCTCCATTATCTATCCACTTAGGTTTAGTTCTAGAAAATAAACTTTAAATATATTCTTCATCTTCTTCTTTCTTCGAGCTTAGTTTGTGCTTCTTTTAATTGTTGTTTTCTTTTTTTAACTCTAGCACAAATCGGACTAATTGGTTTTTGAAATTAAGATGAAAATATTTCAAACTTCTTATCAATAAGAAGCAAAGATTGTACACATATTTTTTCTTTTGTAAAATTAGCTGCATTTGTAATGATATAGTGTACAGTTTTATATGAGTATAGTATGTAATTATAATGCAAAAAGCAAGGATAGGGGATATAATTATCACAAAGTTGTGAGTATCATGAAAAGAACCTAATTTAAAATGTTTCGTGCTCAAGGCTTAGGATAGGCAACAGATGAAGTTTCTGAAATTGAAAAGAAAGATAGAAAAACAATCCAACTTATTTTTCGGTTGTCGAAATTAGACCTGTTTTCGGCATGATTAGGGGATTGTCAGTGAAGGGGAATCTATAAGCTGGGGTTGATTGGGAGAAGTTGGTGATACAAGGCGATTCTTAAGATCACTCAGGATTCAATTAGCACTACATTCTTCATGTTCTTGTTTGTTTTTTCTTCTCTCTCGATAACATGTTAAGAGGAGGAAAATCAATGGTTTCGTCTCTCCAAAGCACTTCAGAACCACACAAATACCGGTCTCTGTCTAATTACAAAATCAGCAACATCTCTTTAGAGGTTTTAGAAACAGAGAATTTATCCCCGAACACAAATCCTTAACTCCTTATATTTTGTTAGAAAATTTAGAATAGTGTCCGGTCAATAATATAATCGGTGTTGAACAGCATAATTTCCTTAACCAATTAAATTTTTGTTTGGCTCCATTGTTAGTTTGTTTCCCTAAATATCCAAATGCATAGACCCAGTACGCAAATATTGTAGAACTAGGGATGCTAGAACAGATACTGAAATACGCAATACGTACCGTAATAGTTACCCAAAATATTGTCAAACAGGAAACACTATGCACACTGAATGTTGTAAGGGTAGTGATCGATCATCCAGGCCCCAAGATCAATTAGAAACAGACTTAAACTTTTAAAAGTCAAATTTTCAAACCCTGTAAAATATTTATTCATTATTGAATTAATATTAAAATTTCTGAATAACAACACTTTTAATTGTGAATCAATATTGAATGTTTGAAACATATTTTAATTTGGGTCTGCTTGTCTTCTAATATATTTAAGTATAATTTAAAGATTTTGACTTAAGCTTATAAGATGTTTCATGATCCCGGGGCCAGTATACAAAGGACTTAAACACTTGAGACCCCACACAAAACACTGCCTAGGAGAATAAGAGTATAAAGACATTCAACACATTAAATATTGTAATACTAGAAGTAAAAGCAATTCAAATATTGTTAAACTGGAAAGAAGTATTAAGTATAATGTACACTAAAAATGGTAGGTTTGGAAAGAAAACATTGAACACACTAAATATTAGAATTATAATACTAGTAATTGAAACACATTGAGCTCTCTACATTTTGTGAGACTGTAGACATCCGCAAGAAACTTAATTTTGTAACACTTGAATTTCATTTATTACAATATAAATTTTAAAACTGAAAACACAGTAACACACTAATTACGGTAAGACATGAGAGACATTGAGCATACATGTAATAAATATTGTGAGACTTGAGACACTTTTAGCACATAAAGTATTGTAAGACCGAAAACACTTTCTGCACACTAAATATTGTAATTCCTGGGACACATTCACACTAAATACATGTATTTTAACAATGGAAACATTTTCAGCACACTAAATATTGAAAATCTGACGACACTTTCAGTACACTAAATATTATAAGAATGGAGACCCATTCAACACAGTAAATATTATAAGACCGGTTACACATTCAGTACAATTGTTATTGCAAGAACGGAAACACTTTCACTACACTTAATATTGTTAATTCTGGAGACACATTCAACACACTAAATATTGCAAGACAGCCGACACATTCAACACACTTGATATTGCAATAATGGAGACACATTCACATTAAATATTGTACTACTGGAAACACTTTCAATCACTATATATTGCAATACTGGAAACATTTTCAGCACACTATATATTGTAATACTGGAAACACTTTCAGCACACTAAATATTGTAATACTGGAAACACTATCAGTACACTAAATATTGTAAGACTGGAGTCACTTTTAGCACACTAAATGTTGTAATACTGGAAACACTTTCAGCACACTATATATAGTAAAACTGGAAACACTTTCAGCACACTAAATATTGTAATACTGAAAACAGTACTTTCAGTACACTAAACATTATAATATTGGAAACACATTCAGTACACTAAATATTATAATAATGTAAACACAATCAGTACATTATATATTGCAATACTGGAAACATTCAGTGCACTAAATAGTGTAATACTGGAAACACTTTCAGCACACTAAATATTGTTATACAGGAAACACTTTCAGCTAACTTAATATTGTAATACTGGAAACGCTTTCAGCATACTAAATATTGGAATACTGGAAACACTTTCAGTACACTATATATTGCAAGACTGGAAACACTTTCAGTACACTAAGTATTGTAAGACTGGAAACACATTCAGTGCACTTAATATTATAATACTGGAAACACTTTCAGCACACTAAATATTGTAATACTGCAAACACTTTCAGCACACTAAATATTGTAATACAGGAAACACTTTCAGCTAACTTAATATTGTAATACTGGAAACGCTTTCAGCATACTAAATATTGTAATACTGGAAACACTTTCAGTACACTAAATATCGTAAGACTGGAAACACATTCAGTACACTTAATATTGTAATACTGGAAACACTTTCAGCACACTATATATTGTAATACTGGAAACACTTTCAGTACATTATATATTGTAATACTGGAAACGCTTCCAGTACACTTAATATTGTAAGACTGGAGTCACACTTAACATACTAAATATTACAATACCGGAAACACTTTCAGCACACTTAATATTTCATTGGAATTCAAACTAAATATTGTAATACTGGAAACATTTCAGTACACTATATATTGTAATATTATCAAATTACTTTTTATATATTTATTAATTAACAGCTGGTGGAGTGTTTGTAAGATGGGGACGAAAGGATTGTCCTTCTGATAACAACACAGAATTGGTTTACTCTGGTAAGATCATAATAAAGGTATTAAGTTGTTTTTTCTTAAGATCAAACGCAACGTAGTTTGGACTTTATTGGATTCTTCCCTGGAATTGAAGAGTTCCACTAAATGAAGGACCTATGTGCAATACTTTTAATGTATATATATGGATTTGTACACCTCTGCTAAAACAATTTTTGATGAAAAAAATCTGTAATTTATGTTTTGTAATTTTTGTTTATTTTTCTTTGAATAATGCAAAATTTTTCAAAATTTGATACCTTTTCAAAAATGTCAAGGAACATATAATACTATTATAAGTTTAAATTTAGACAATCTTGAAAAATTATCAGTTGGTAAGGTACCTTGCGTATGTCCTTAAAGCATCAACCCATCTGCTAGCCATATTTGCCATTTTAAATATTATTTAAAATTTTAAACTTGCACTTTAATTCCTTTGTCTAGCAATTGTTTCCGAATTTCATTATTATATTGTACTCGTAGTAATTCATGAGAGTAAACTTATATTTTGTAGGATTTGGTGGTGGATCTTGGCCTACTCACACAGGTGCTGCAGCTGAGTTTGTTTGTCTACCACGTAATCCTTACCTGACCACCAAATTTATCTCCTCTTATGCTTACATTTATGGAGCAGAATATGATACCACTGACTTTGGTGTGGTTTGTAGAAGGAAGACGTAATCCAGCGTGTTGATGATTCCAGGAAAGAATAGCTGCTACTCTGGATGGACTCAGCAGTATCGTGGATACCTGGCAGCGGGACATTATATATAGTGTATAGATTAAACTGATATCAAAGTATGTTAAATAATACAGTCATATATATGTACATTGCTCAGGATTTGGTGGTGGATCTTGGTATGACCATATTGGCGTTGCAGCTGAGTTTGTTTGTCTACCACGCGATCCTAACCTGACTACAAAATTTACAACCTCCAATGCATTCATGTATGGCACAGAATACGACTCCACTGACTTTGGTCATCAAAATGGGGATGACTTGCCTTGTGTTGTTTGTAGAAGGAAGACACAATCCAGCGTGTTGATGATTCCAGGAAAGAACAGCTGCTACTCTGGGTGGACTGAACAATATCATGGATACTTAGCAGCAGGAAACGCCAGTTTTGCAGCTGCTTCACAATACATATGTCTGGATGAACACCCGGATGTTCTAACAGCAGGAGAACGGAATGATAATGGAAAATCTTTCTACCCTGTGAAATCTGTGTGTGGAGAACTGGCATGCACTCCATACCACAACAATATGTATCTAACATGTGTTGTGTGCACAAAATAAGCACAAGTATCTGATAATGCATTTGAAATACTTGTTAAATCCTGAAATTTGTCGTTTTTTATTTACATTTTGCTTTTTCAACATGCCATGTTATACAGATAGAATGTATGGAAATAACGAACAGTATTCAATTTCAAACGTCTATTGAACAATGCAAATTTTGGAGCAGAGCAAACTTAGACCTCGAAAATATCAGCGATTGGATCAGGTGCCATGGAGGAGTAAGCAACTCATGCCAACCGTCACACCTGCCATGTACTCTTTGTCATGATCGGGAAAACGGAAACAATTATTTGTAAATAATGGCTTAACGATTAGAATGAAAAACGTCTGAATAATAAGTTGTATTTGCTTACAAGTTCATTGTGATAACCATAGGACTTACGAACTGATGACTTTAAACGAGACCGCTGATACTCTTAATTCATCAACTTAATTGTCAATTACTTACCTCGTTTAAGAAATTGTTCAATCGTAGAGTTTGCTTTTGCTTATCGAATCAACAGATAGATATAAACCATGTTTGCAGGGGATGTTGGAATATTGCTGCATAAATAAGGGAAGTTGATGATTAAAGCAAGCGCATTTATCATAAAACCTTATTCTTAAATTACTATAAACGTCTGTTTCTAGTAAATTATTCACTTTTTAAAAGACGTGTCAGATTCTTTAGTGTCTTTTATTTCAGTCTCACTGAGATATATCGTATCGACAAAATATAGCCATTGTTAAATAAGACATCGCAGGTTATCTAAATGTTGAGACTAAGGACACAGCAAGTGTTGTCTTCTTTTCATGTATAAGATATGATTTTAAACGAAAACAGGTATGCTTAAAAAGGAACTCAATTTATAATAAATTGTTGGAAGACCTGGAAGCAAACGATAGAAACGTTAAATGTAAAATTTATGTTAAGGACGAAAAAATCCTGGCAGCGTTATCTTTGACAACGTTATAGAAAATTTGCGTGAAATCTATAGTACGTGAAAAATGTATCTAAAGATATTGGTACTTGTAACACCAAAGTTCATAATTTTTTGGAATTTTAAATCATTATTTTTTATAAATTGAAATAATACTGATATTCTGTAATCAATCGCAAAGTAAGGAAAATCGCAAGATACCAAACCATTTTCGAAATACAGAAGTTATTATACATCAAATGATAAATAAATGTTGAAATGACAAAAGATGAAATAGGAGTTGATGAAATCAGAATGAATCAAATATCGTTTTGAAAGATGTCTACATTTCAAAATTCATTACTGACTGCGAAAATTGCTACGGTCACAGATTGTGCATTATGAGGTTTCATGTGTATAAGTTGAAGGTAACCAACAATTATGTAAATGAAAAAATTTAAGTTATGAACAGAGCAGAAACAGTGAAAATTGAAAACACTAGAAATGGGATCAAGTAAGTCATCATGTCGACCATCTACGTATTGGTCAAGAAGAGGAATTTATTAGTCTTCTACCGGTCAAACTGGAGGAGACTATATGTTTCCTCCGTCTGCATCCAACTGCGTATCTCTCTGTCCGTCTGTCCACATGGCTATATGTAAGTCTGTCTGACTTGGTTTTCTTTACTTTTTACTAAACACTTTCATATATTGAGCTGATTTTTGGTATGTGAATCTTAATTGGTGAAGTTTGCATTTCGTTTTAGCTTGAATAATTTTTTGAGGATTACATTTTCCTTAGTAAAACATGGGGGTTTAAAAAGCCTATGATTTGCAATATCCATAATCATAGATCCGAGCCACTACTCTGGTGTCGAGGAATAAAAAAAGAATGACCTTTACTTGCCTTTTCAAGAAGACTATTTAAGAATTTTAAAGGGACAGAGTAACATTTGGTGCGAATACGATGTAGACCTAACTGTTGATTTACATAAGGTAGTAATGAATCAAGAGAGACATCGTGCAGTTTATTGAAAGACCGATGCCCATGACTACGATTACGTCTCTGTATATGGTTAAAAAGTCCCATCACATTGATATTGTTAGACTGTGGACTCGAAAGATTTCCAACACTATTGACAATGTCATTACACTAATTCATAGGGATATGCTGTCCCAAGTGTTCTAATCCAAAATTCTTCTCATTGTCTTTGGAAAGGTGTACCCAGTGATTGACTGTTTGTGTGGTGATAAATCTTTTCTACAATTCTAACTTTCATTGACAAAATAGAATGATCAGGTAAATTATAATGTTTGCATTAGAGCTACGGATCCTCATTATTTATTGAAATGTATGACCTGATATTCTTTTATTATGTGATCCCTTGGTTTCATCAGCATAAACGAGATTACAAAGATTACATTCTATTCGGTAGACAACATTAGAAGATTTGCAGTTTAGATTTTTCCAAGTGTTGGTTGACATGTAGAAGTTCTGTCGAGTAAGATTATTGGTGAAGTGTTAGCTATCAAAATGTAACAGGTTTACCATTTTTTAGCAGAAAATTTTGAAAAAGACCTTTAAACAAAAATATTAACAGCAGCAAAGAACAGTAAATATGAATTTTCGGTTAATCTACATGTATTTCATTTTCACCTAGTGTTAGCTTGCAATATCATTTATTATCAAATCAAACATATTGATATAACAAACAGTATTCAAGGCTGAAAATCCATGAAACAATACAAAATGGGAACAGAGCTAACACGGACCGCCAAAACATCAGAGGATTGGATTAGGTGCCATGGAGGAGTGAGCATCTCCTGCCGACCGGTCTCACCTGCAGTGTGCTCCTTGCCATAATCTGGAAATAACTGAGAGATCCGTCGTCAATTCAGTGTTTAAATCATGGACTAACAATTAGTATGAAAAATGACAGTCAACATTTGACTCAATGATAAATTGTATTTGCTTACAAGATCATTGTATCGAATATAGAATTTACGAAATGATGACTTTAAACGAGACTACTGATATTCTTGTTTCTTCAAATTTGTCAATAATTTATCTCGTTTTAGAAATTGGTCATACGTAAAGCATGCTCAAGATTGCATATCGAATCAACTGAGATATATAAACTCCGCATTCAGGTTATGAAAACCTTTTTGATCATGAGATCTAAAGGTCAGTGTCATAAACTTAAAACTCCAGTCTGTTTAAACACGGTTGTTTTTCGAGAAGTCTTGGACCCTTTGCAATTTAATTTTATGCAACAACTCTATGTCCTAAGACTCCTTTAAATTTAAAGTTAGAAGGTCAAAGGTCAAGGTTCTAACTTAATATTTTTTGTCTGTTTGTAAAACATTCATTTATTTCATGCAATAGGTCCAGAAACTTTTGAGCATTTTCATAGAAATTTCATCTCATAATTCGCTGTGGCCTCGCCCACTCCTCTTAAAGTGCCCTAACGTCCCCCAACCCCCCCCCCACCCCATCGCAAACCCCCTCTAGATCCACGCTGCTATTCTTTTTCTTCTGAACTTCATTGTAAAGTAATTTACGGTCTCCATATTTTTTTAAAAATTAAATATCGTAACTATATATTTTTTAATTCTATAGAATAAACGTCCCTACAGCGCAGCAAATATCTTCTTTAAGTAATAAATCGTTTAAGTCATGTAAAAATACATCCATTTATTATATCTAACGAATGTTTCATACTAGCACAACATTCGTACTATAGACCTGACTGAATTTTTATCAACCAATTAAGACACCAACTGGCACTTAGTTACGAACAAAGTCAAAATCTTTTCTTACCTATCATTTGTGAACATTAATTTCATGTTTGACACATCTTGAGAGGTTTTATTCAGATCGAAAACAATGAAAGCCTTTCACAGTTTGCCAAATTTCATACAAGTTCTAATCGGCCATGCTGAGAAGAGGATTTTCCTGAATGACCCGGATGTGATCCTGTCAGAGATCCATGACCTGGAGAGAAAGTATCAGGACATATTAGTGAAGTACTCTGATTTATCTACAAAGTATTCTGATATATCGACGAAGTATTCAGATCTTGCAACCAAAACGGCTGATTTAGCAACAAAACATAATACCGATCCATTAAAATCTTCCGATAATTCTCTTCAAGATACTTTAACCAGATATTGTTAACTTGTTTATATCAAATATTACAGAAAATTTTCTTTAAATGGTTTTTTATTGGAACCTTATTTGCATTACAGAAGTCCTTTAAGGAGTATTGCAATAGAGGGTATAATTATTGCCTAGAAAAATCCCTTGAAAAGGTAAACAGTTGTAAAAAATTGCCACCTTTTGATTATTTCTATTTGTTTCGAAAATCCTCTTTTTGAATGTACAATCCTGTACCCATGTCATGACTGCTGCGTAAACTGCAAGTAATACAGAAAATGCCAAAGGATTTCCATCCTAGAGATTAAATACTGTAGGCTCCAAAAAAAGGCTAACAGACAATCGTAATACATATAGAATTTTGTGAGAAATATTATACTTATAACATAGTTTCGTTGTAGCTATTCAAATACCGAAATGTTATCTGGAAGAATAAAAAAATATCAAAGTATGAATTTGGGTATCAATAGTTTCTACCTAAAGTCTTTTAATAAGTAGACTTGACAAAAAAAAACAAGTTTCTTTTTTTTTTTATAGTAAAACCATTGATACTTTTAACATTTCCCAAGAGTGCACTTCGTCAAGGTTGTCAGATAATTCTTTCTCCTACTGTAGATCACTAATTTTTCGCGACACTTTATAGTCATTGTCATTGACTTTTGATAAGCGAGACAAAATTTTCATGAATTATGGTTATTCCTTTTTATAATCTTAAGGAATACTACTATAAGCAAGAATTAGATTTTTGCGAGGATACTGTCTCGCGTAATTATTCTAAAATAACGTTCTCGCGAATAAAAAGTGACTTACAGTATAAATTCTTGTAACAACTGTCTCTGTGAAGGCAATTTTATGTTTTACCATATATCAAATAATAATGAAAGGGTATAAGGATTTTCTTTTAAATTAGAAAATGTAATTGTCCTTAAAAGCAAATGATAA